GAGGCTCATGTGGGCTACAAATATTGTCTTGTCTGATCAAAACCAGCACCCACAGTGCCAGATGGCTGTGGTTCCAAAACACAGGTGCAGTGTATCTGGGATGGCTGGAATGAAGATTCCCAGGCACAGCTCGGGACCGAATGGAATTACAGTATTTGGGGTGGGGCCCAGGAATCAAGACTTGAATGGACTTTGGAGAGCAGCCGGTCCAAGTGAGGCCCAGAAAGGGGAAATGACTTGTCCAAAACAAAACAGGCCAGCTGAGACCTTAACTACAAGGTTATCAGCTCAAGAGACAATTGTGATCAATGGAGGGAGTCTTTTACGCCTCCTTCCCTTGGACAGTCCCCAGGTTAGCAGTTTCTGTCTCAGGTCTTCTATGGCAGCTTCTTGGACTTAGAGACAGTAGAGTGGAGTTTTTGCAGGGAACCAGAACATGGATATGGTGGTTCCAACCATTGTACTGAAAAGTTGTTTTTCATGTGTGACAACAAGGCTCCCTAGAACTGGTGCTCCAATCAAAAAGAAAAGAAGAGAGCTTATTATATTTTCTTTCCAGCGTTTGTGTCTGCAAGGCCAACCCACTTCCCAGCCCGGTCACCAGGGCAACAGTGATCACCCCCACCCTGACAGCCAAGTGCATATGCAGCTTCTTGCACCCACATCCAGGGCTTCGGGACCCAGCCCTATAATCAGCCTCCCCTGCCTCTGCAGGCAGCCAGCACCACCAGTCAGAGGCCCATCACTGCATCGCAGTTCTGCAGACACCCCCTTCCCCAAGCTCACACGCAGCGATCTGCTTCCCTCGCCCACTACCTCCCAGGAGACAAATGTGCAATCTGTGTATCATGCAAATGTGTGTTATCACCTCTGGAGGGCGGGATCTGCCCTGAGAGGAGCAGAGCCCAACACACAATGCCCGCACACGAGAAAACTCCCCCTCCCAGGAAGGGGAGTGGTGGCAGCCAACGCCCTCTTCCCCTGCAGAGACAGCTGAGGGGGTGGTCTGAGTGGAGGAAGAGTTTGCAAAGTGACTATCGGAGGGGGAGGCTGGGCTCATGCTAGGGATGGGGCTGTAGGAGCTCCATGCCCTCTGCCTGTCACTAATGAGGCAGCTCCCAGCTGCCTGCAGAGCCCTCAGGCTCCCTGCAGAGAGATCAGAGCCCCTTCAATGGCTGGCCACAGACATCTGCCATCAGACTAGCAGGTAATGAGTGTGCTCTCTTCAAGGCCCAGCTGCTAGGCACCTGATTCTCCATCAGGACTTGCCTAGGACCAGCTCTGTGCAGCACTCTGCACTCAGGGAGCCCACCCTGGAGCTCACCTGCTCTGCTGCACTCATCTGATCTCTTTCCTCAACCAATGGAACCCAGCGATGCTTCTGGCCACTTGTATCCTGACTGCAGTTCCAGATGCTCCAGCTGATTCCCTCACTTACCCCCACCCCACCCCAATGTACAACTGTTTTGGATACATCTTAGGCCTGTTCATGTTCTCTGGGTCTTGCTAAACCCCCAGGGATCACGGGTTGGGATTTTTATTTATTTTTAGGACTGGAGATTGAACCCAGCTACTCATACTGAAGGTATATCTCCAGCTCTTTTTAGATTTTTGAGACCAAATCTCACTAAATTGTTCAGGCTGGCCTCGATCTTGTGGATCCTCCTGCCTTAGCCTCCAGAGCACTGGGGTTGACAGGTATATAGCTTTGCTCCAAGGACTAGGTCTGGATTACCCTCCCTTCTCAGTTTCTTGAAACCCGAGGTCAGCCCCAGGCCAGCCTGCAAGGCCTGATTGCGACGAACCTTGCTTTTGAGCACTGAGAATCTGTAATCCCTGCATGTGGAAGGCTGAGGCAGGAGGATTGTGAGTTTGAGGCCAACCTGGGATACATAGCATGACCCTGTTTCAAAATACAAAACCAAAATACCCAAAACTATAAAACAAACAAAACCAGAGCCAGTTGAGACCTTAAGTGCAAGGTCCTTAATTCTCCAAGAGTCAGTTGTGACTAGTCAGGAGCCTTACACACCTCTCTCCCTTGGACAGACCCCAGGCCCAGGTTTCTGTATGAGCTGTCTGGAGACACCCTGTGTGGCTGGGCACCTGGCTGAGAAGGCAGCAGCTGTCTGCACCTGATCAATTCTCATCCGGCCCTGCCTCACCCCCTCTCCCTCACTCTGGCTGCTGTGATTACACCTCCTCCCAAGAAAGCCTCCACACCCAAGCTTTGGCTCGGCCTGTTTTCTAGGGAACCCAGGCGACATCAGCACTCACAGAAGAATAGAACAGAATGCTTCTTCTCTGTTACCTAGCCTGACCCTCACTAGACAGAGAGCTGACACCCAGGGAAAGGAAATGATTTTCTGGAGTGTGCAGCTAGTTAGTGGGGAAGCTCTGCTTATTAATGACTGTTACAGACAATTAACAAGCATTTAATCTATGCCAGGTATTATTCTAGGCATTGCAAGTACAGTGGTGAATAAAATGGGCAAAAATCCCTGCCTTCATGGAACACAATATTCTGGTGTAGGGTTGGAAGAGAAAGAGACCATAATCAACATGAATAAGTGAAATATTCAGAATATCAGACCTATAATTGCTGGTTGTGGTCAGAGTAGTGTCATGGGTTAAACTGTGTCACCTCCCCACCTCCCCAAATTCACAGATTGAAATTTTGATCTCCAGTTCCACAGAGTCTGATAGGATTTAGAGAATCCTTAAGGAAGCGATCAGGTAAAAATGGGCCCCTCATTCAAACCAACTAGTGGCCTTATAAGAAGGGAACGTGTGGACACATCACCAGGAATGCCCACATGAAGAGCAAAGGGAATGGGCGGCCAAGAGGGAAGGCAGGCATCTGTAAGCCAAGAAGACAGGGTGGCAGAGAGCCAAATGTGTCCTACCTTGGCTGTGGGCTTCTGTGGTTTAAGCCACCCAGCATGTATATATTGCTATGTTGGCCTCCCCATATCCTTCAGTTTTTGATCCCTTTGACCATATGGATGTTATACACGTTGTTATTTTTGAACATTACATAAATATATTATAGTGTAGACAATCTTTGGCTATTTGCATTTGTTGCTCAACATGTTTGTGAAATTTATCCTCTTGAATTATGCAGTCATTTTCACCTTCAGTTTTCCATTTCCTGGGTCTCATATGATTAATTCATCCATTTACCTAGTGATGGATATTTGAGTTGTGTCCAAGTTTTTGTAACTTACAATATGTATTGCTGTGAACTTTCTTGTGCATATTTCTTTGTGTAAAAGAGCAAGAGTTTCTCCAGGGTGAATGCCTTGAGCAGCCATATACTGAAAAAGAGCTCTGTTCTCTTTCACAAGTTAACGCCAAATTATTTTTCAAAATGGTATCCAAAGAGCTTGCACCAATTTGCACTTCCACCAGTGATATATGAGAGCTCCTCTTGTTAATCATCTATAAAACACTCACTGTGGTTGGATCTTTAAATTTTGCCTGTCTGGGGGTGTGTGAAATTGACATATTCAATTTTGTTAATGAGGGCTGAGCTTAATCACTACTAAGGTTTTATTAATTAGTATTCATGAAGCATTGGTGTTGCATTCCTTTTCATAGGTTTATGGTGATTCTTCTGTAAAGTGGTTGTGTATATAATTTTGTCCAGTTGTCTGTTTAGTTATCTTCTTACCAATCGTTGTGATTTATTTTTAGAATTCTTGAGTCTGAACAGTAAACCTTCTGATTCATTTTTCTGTGACTATCTTTTCCCAGCCAATGATTTGCCTTATCACAGACTGTTACTGTTTAAGTAATTGGGTTTATCAATCTTTTATTTTATAGCTTATACTTTTTAAGAAAAAATTCCCTACTCTAGATACAACTGGGATCAAAGGAGGGAGTCTTTTATGCCTCCTTCCCTTGGACAGTCCCCAGGCTAGCACTTTCTGTCCCAGGTCTTCTATGGTAGCTATTCTCTTATAGTTTCTTTTAGAAGTTTGAAAGATTTACACTCATAATTTTTATTCACCTGAAATTTTATATGGTCTAAGGTAGAAATCAAATCAAATTTAAATAGTTTTTCTCATATAATTGTATTAATTCCTTATTGTTGCTCTACCCAATCTCATGGTTTAAAATAGCACAAGCTCATTGTCTTACAGTTCTAGATGTTAGACATTTGAAATATTTTTCACTAGGATAAGTCCCATGTGTAAGTAGGGCTGGGTTCCTTCTGGAGATTCTAGGGGAGCGCTTTCACTGTTTCAGGATCTCCTCCCCTCCTTAAATCTAGATGTTCTCCCAAAGCCTCATGTGCTCATAGGTGTGGCTTTTTGGAAGTGGCTGGATCTAGGGTCTGTGAATGTGAATTAAAAGTGTGCAAATATGGATTAAGGGTATGATAATTGGATTCCTCCACTGATTGGTTTAGCATTGTTCTGGGTATGGGTAATGGGAAGCTCCACCCTGGGTGTGGGTAGCATTACCCAAAAGGCTTAGAGCCTAAATGGGATAAAAGGGAAAGGGAGGCTTGCTGCTGCAGCTTTACTATTGCTGCTTCCTGCCTGCCCTGCCATGACTGTTTCTCCTTTTTGCTACGCTGTCCTGCCTTGTAGCCAGCTAACTATGGACTGCAACCTCTAAAAACTGTGGGCTGAAAATAAGCCTTTCCTCCTTTTGGATATTTTGTCTCAGCAATGAGAAAAGTAAGACATCTCCCTACTCCAAGTTCTGCAGGCTGTCAGCTCATGGCCTATTCCATCATGACAGCTAGTAATGGCTGGCCAAGTTCTTCTGACATCCTATCACTCTGACACTGACACATCAGCTCCCTCTTTCATGTGTAAGGTCCTTTGTGATTGAGGCTTACTGATTAAGTAAGTAGGATTACCTACTTAACTCAAGATCACCTTACCTCTTAAATTAGACACATCAAAGTCCCTTTTTCCATGTAAGGTAACATTCACTAGCTCAGAAGATTAGGACAGGGGCATCTTTGGGGAAGTATTATTTTGTCTCTCACAACAATCAATTAATTCAGCACAATTTATTAAATCTTTTCTGAACTTGGGTCCAGAGGGACACTGGTTTGGTGGCAAGGATAACAGTAATGACAAATACCCATGCCAGGAATTTTTCTAAGCATTATACGCAGAATTCCCTCAACATCTCTTGGTGCTAAATACTATTATTATTCCTGTCTTAGAAATGAGGGGCAGGGTGGTCAGGCAGGAAGGTGGAAACTAGCAGTGTCTGGACTTAAACATAAGCAGCTGGGTTTCAAAGTCCATATACTTAGCACCATGGAATTGTTAGGTGAATAAGTGAGGTAGATACGTCTACCTTTCCTTAGTTCTGTGTTCATGCCTAAATCATGTGACTTCTGTGAGCTTCAGTTTCATCACCAGTCAAACTGCAATAGTGAATCACCTTCTGCACTTCACAGGGCTGCCGTGAGGGCACAGTGAGATGATAGAAAAACAGGGCTCCAAGAGTCCTTCTCTCACATGTCAGTGGAGGAAATAGGACTGGGGCTCAGGTTTCCTGGCAGCCAGGCTGAGGCAGACTCCTTCCATCCCAGGGTGGTAACTGGAGCAGTTACAGATTCCAGTCATCAAATTGAGTGTTTTCCTTTCACCAGCCTCCTGCCTTATAACAGCCAACATCAAAGCTGTCTGCGTATTCCATCACTTGCATTGATTGCATTGCAATTCAGTTGACATTAAGGATGTCATTAAGTCCCAGATGATTCTGTTACAAAATCCAAACAGAAGACAGTACTTCTTAGCTAGAACAGGGTAAAATTTACAAATAATATTTAGTATCAGTTACAAATCAAAGAGGAAAGGGGAACAATTTCAGAAATTGAAAGGGAAGCATCATGGTATTTGCTTAGGAAAATCACCTCTTCACGACTGTGTCTCTTCTCTACCCTCCTTCTATCAGGTCACTGTCCCCTTCTGTTGTCCCTGCACTTCTCTTTGGTTGACTGAGGATCAAAAAACAGAATTTTAACTACAAGGTGCAGCACTCACTGCTTTTGCTTTGAACTTCAAAGATAATCTTGAAAAAAAAAAGCAGTAAAGAGAAGGGGGATTTGCTCTGTCAGATTATTAAGACATACACTTGCCCTTCTTATCCAAATGCAATATATTTCAAGAGCCCTAGTGAATGCCTCTTACCTTGGATAGTATCCAGCTCTTTATATGCTGTGCTTTGTAGCTATACATAAATACATATCTGTGATAAAGTTTAATTTGTAAACTAGGCACAGTAAGAGCGTCAAGATGACCAATAATATAGAACAGTCACTATATTAATCACACAAACATTGTGATACCATGCCAGTCAGTCAGATAACCAAGGTGGCTACTAGGTGACTAATGGATGGGTGGAGTGTACAGCATGGATACACTGGGCAAAGGGATGGTTCACATCCTGTCCTGAGATGGGATGGAATGGCATAAGATGTCATCACTATCCAGAATGGAGCACAGTTTAAAACTGAGAAATTATTTATTTCTGGAATTTTGCAAGTAATATTTTTCCAGACTACAGTTGAATATGAGTAACTGAAACCATAAGAGGCAAAACTGCAGATAAGTGGGTATCACTACAGAACTGCAACATAGTAATATAGTCAGCACAGTGCAGGAAAAGAACAGACCTAGATCAACAGAACAGCAATGAGAGTACAGAAATAGACACATGAGGCTAATGGGGACCCATCATGTGTGATGATAAAGATACCATTGAGCATTGGTGGGGGAGAGATGGACTGTTGAGTGAACTTCCAGAAAGTTCACTCACCATATAGAAAAAATAGTATCATATTCCTTTTAGCTACTGGAGGTGAACTACAGATAGATTAAGAGTTATCAGTAAAAAATGAAGGACAGCTAGAGAAAAATGTAGACTATTTATGATTGTTTTAGATACTTTTCTGTTGCTGAGACAAAATACCTGACACCCAAAGTTAAAAGAGGAAAGGCTTATTTAGCTCAGCCTGGAGACATTTCAGTCCATAATTGGCCATCTCCAAAGCAGGGTGGCCTGGCAGACAGGCATCACAGAGGAGAAACAGTCCACGGCAAGCAGGCAAACAAGAGCACAGTAGCCTGCTTTCTGTCCCTTATATTTTATGCAGGCTGCCTGCCATAGGACAAGTGCGGCACTCACACCATTAAAGCTAGCCAGAACTATGCCAAACCAATCAGTGGACTGATTTAGTAATCACATGCTCGACTTCCAGCCACCTCTGAAAAAGCCCCATCTAGGATCATATGAGGCTTTGGGGAGAAATCTAAACACAGCCCTTAACAATGATGAAAACTAAATTCATGCAACTCATGGGTGAAAAAGGATTCTTAAATAAGGCCCCAGAAGTATACTCTCCACAAGACTAAAATTTGATGTATTTGGCTACATCAAAATTATGTATAAATCTTCATTCACTGAAGGAAAACAAAGACTAAACTAACAGGATGCATAAAGGGTTGGGAAAATATCTGTAATGTCCAAAGCTGAGAAGGGATTAATATTTAGAAGGTGTAAGAAACTTCTTGAATTCATTCAGAAAGAAATAATAGGAAATCCAGCAGAAAATTAGGCCAAGGATGTCAATGGCTAATATATAGAGGAAAAACATCTCAGTGGTTAAGTGTGTGGAAAAAGTCAACATACCAATCACCAAAAATATAGAAATGAAAAGTACAATGTGATACTACCTTACAATCAGATGTAGTATTAATTAGGACAATAGATAATACCGGATATTTGCATAGGGAGTGGGGAAGTGGGAACCTTCCAACCTTCATGTGCCACTGGTTGGAATGTAATCTGGCAAAGCGATCCTGGAGGGCAATGCGAAATCAAGCAGAGTGAAACTAAATCCTGCAGTCTCCATGATCCACAAGTTCCACTTCTTCCTTTTCATCTGGCTAGGGATACAGCTAACACCCATTCCAGTACTGGCTGTGATAGAATCCAACTGTCCATTTTTGAGGACTTAGTAAGTACAATGTGTCAGACACAAATTGAATTCCAGCTGTGGCAGAATTAATGAACTGGCACATAGAAACACGTAGCCAGATAAATTTCTGTTGTGATTTGCAATTTAAATGTCCTCCAAAGACTACCTGTGGAAGGCTTTGTCTCCAACCGGTGGCATTGAGAAATGGTGGAACCTTAGGAAGGCAGGACCTATTGGAAGGAAGTGGGGTTATTGGAAGATGTCCTCAAAGTGGGTATTGGGACCCTGGCCCCTTCCTCCAAAGCCATGAGATTAACAGTGTTCCTTTGCCAAAATGTACCATGCTTTCATGAGCCCCTCTGAAACCATGAGACAAAATCAATCTTTCTTCCTTTAAATTATCTCAGGTGTTTTGTCACAGCAATAGAAAGCTAATACAATCTCTAGTATATTATGTTGAAGAATAAACAAGAAATAGAATGAGTTAACACAAACCATTTATATTTGTATTTAAAATAAACTAAAATATTAATACCTCTAGAAATAAATATATATGCATATAGTGGGACAAATTATAAATACAAGGGAAGGTGCTTATGAAGAGAGGGGATATAGAAACAGGTTCGAGGAGAGGGAATGAGTGGAAAATAAGAAATGGTATTCGCTAACTCTAATGAGCTAAAGAATATGAACATTTAACTCTCATCTCCGGAGTCCAAAACAAACTGCTCCAGCCTCTCTTCATCTCTTCCTTTTCTTAACACAATCAAGTGCAAGTGACTCAGCCTGCCCGCCCCAGCAGGGCCCTTGTCCGTACAACGCTGAGCTGGCTCTCTCCTCTAAGCAGTCCTTTTCAGCTCTTTAAGCTACACTCTGCTCACTTCTCACAACCCAAGCACTCCCACCTTCACCCAAAGCCCCAAAGCCCCAAAGCACCGGCCCTTGTTTCTCCAGTGAAATTTAGGAGTCACTCTTCCAGGACGCTGCCCTTCCCCAAATGTTACTCTCTCCAGGGCGGTATTCCCACACACCGCATCCTCATTACCCCGGTCTTAATTTGGTAGATACCCCTCTCCCAGCACTAGAGTTGAGCCTGGGAGGTGCCTTGTCCGAGAGCTGAGCTTGCGGATTTAGGAAAACCTGGAAAGTTACTGGACAGGTGAAGCGGGACTAGAGCCCACCGCCTTCTCTCCTGATTGGCTCAGCCTCCTCCGCCC